ATGACAGAGTACCGAGGAATGTCATGTGGTGGGCCTTAGAAAAGCACAAAGTCCCATCTAAGTACATTACCCTCATCAAGGATATGTACAAGGATGCGATGACGTGTGTTTTTGCTTCAGATCTTGATAAAGCTACTCAACATGTGGGGGCGATACCAGTGACTTCCCAATTAAAATAGGACTACACCAGGGGTCAGCATTGAGCCCTTATTTATTTGTCTTGGTGATGGATGAGGCCACAAGGGACATACAAGGTGATCTCCCTTGGTGTATGCTCTTTGCTGATGATGTGGTGCTAGTTGACGAGAGTAGGGCCGGCGTAAATAGGAAGTTAGAGTTGTGAAAGGACACGTTAGAGTCGAAAGGCTTCAGACTTAGTAGGACGAAGACCGAGTACATGACGTGCGCTTTCAGCATTGCTACTCATGATGATGGTGATGTTAGCCTTGACGGGCAAGTGGTGGCCAAGAAGGAGACTTTCCGGTATTTAGGATCGATGCTACAAAAGGATGGCGGCATTGATGAAGATGTTAGGCATAGAATTGCAGCCGGTTGGTTGAAATGGCGTCAAGCTTCGGGCGTTCTCTGTGATAAGAGGGTGCTACAAAAGCTAAAAGGTAAGTTCTATAGGACGGCGATTCGCCCGGCGATGCTATACGGTGCTGAATGTTGGCCTACAAAAAGACAACATGTCCAACAACTAAGTGTAGCAGAGATGCGGATGTTGCGTTGGTTTTGCGGGCACACAAGAAGAGATAGAATCTGAAATGAGGATATTCGTGATAGGGTCGGGGTGGCCCCAATTGAGGAGAAATTAGTTCAACATTGGCTGAGGTGGTTCGGACATGTCCAACGGAGACCTCCTGATGCACCGGTGCGCAGGGGTGTTCTACAGCGGGCCGATGTTGTTAAGAGAGGTAGAGGTCGGCCTAAACTCACTTGGGAAGAGTCGGTTCAGAGAGACCTTAAAGATTGGAATATCTTTTTTATTTACTACTACTGTTTCTATTGGGTTTCATCTGTAGCCTACCCCAACTTGTTTGGGACTAAAAGGCTTTGTTGTTGTTGTTGTTGTTGTATATGTTTTTTTTACATGTTATGAAACATAAGTCATTTTAAAGTTCTCGTTTAGAATTAAAGAATATAAATATTTAAACATTAGCAATAAATATTAGTCGGAAAATAGTTTCCACTCTTCCCTACTTATGCCTTATTACAGTATATTATTTCGATTCTTAAATACTTGATATTATAGTTGAGAAGTTGTGGCAAATATTGTAAAGCAATACTCAAATTCAAATATTATGCAATGTATATTACTGTAAAGTTGCAAAATTTACTTATTTTTTATTACATCAAAAATATTTTATTTTTATATAATTTAATAGTGCATATTATTATAATTTTTATATCCCTTACAGTCTCATAATTTATACGATAGTTCGACACCAATTGAGTTATCATTATGATTTATAATAATATATATTATAGATATTGAATATTTTTCTAAGCTAACAATTTACATTGTTGCCTAGAAATCTGGTTTGGATCTTCATGATATGGTATGAGATAGAGAAACTTGTCCTCCA